ACTCGGACAAATGTTTGCCAAATGATAATTTAAAGCGTCAAATGGCAATTTGGTCTTTATATTCAAATTATTAAAACTGGGACACTTCAACTGGGTATCTCCTAACATTCATTCATTCATTCATTCATTCATTCATTCATTCATTCATTCATTCATTCATTCATTCCCCGCCTATCTGGGCGACTTGTCCACTCTAGGCGGCTTACAATATAGGATAAAACAATAAAATGCAGAAAAGTACATAATCGTTCGATAACAATTGTAATAAAATAGAGGGATAATAAAATAAGGGAAAATAAGAAAAGAGATCAGGTATTGACTGGAGGTAAGGCCTGGATGTATAACCATGTTTTTAATTGGGTTTTAAAGATTCCCAGCATAGGGGCTGCGCGAATCTCCGGAGGGAGGTTGTTCCATAGGCAAGGAGCCACCGCCGAGAAGGCCCGGTTTCGTGTTTTCTCCTTCCGGGCCTCTCTCAGCGTCAGGCTCCTCAGCCTCACCTCCTGACTCGCACGGGTGATCCAAGTAGACCTTGGTGGGAGCAGGCGTTCTGCCATATATCGAGGTCCTAAACCGTTTAGGGCCTTATAAGTAAGCATTAAAACTTTGAAGTTGACGCAGAAATGAATGGGCAGCCAATGCAGTGTGGCCAGAGTTGGAGAAATGTGTTGGTATTTTCTCACTCCAGTCTGGCCACCGCATTCTGCACCACCTGAAGTTTCCGCATCAGCCTCAAAGGCAGCCCAAAGTAGAGCATGTTACAGTGGTCTAATCTTGAGATTACGAGTGCATGCACCAAGGTAGTGAGTGCCCCCATGTCTAGATAGGGCCGCAGCCGGGCTATCCCCCAAAGGTGGAAAAAGGTGGTGCGGACTACCGATGCCACCTGAATTTCCATGGTGAGCGTCGCCCCAAGCTGCAGCCCCCACTCTTCACGGCCAGGGTCACCCCCCCAAATGTGAGAGAGGCACCCAAGCCACCAGCCACGAGGCCACCCACCCTCAGAACTTCCGTCTTGTCCAAGTTCAGCCTCAGCCCATTCTCCTGCATCCATTCCAGTACGGCCCCCAGGCAGCACTGAAGGGACAGGACGGCATCAGCTGCAGTTGGTGAAAAGATGTAGAACTGGGTGTCATCGGCATATTGATGACACGATGCCCCACATCACCTGATGACCCCTCCCAGCGGCCTCATATAGATGTTAAACAGCATTGGGGAGATAATCGACCCCTGTGGGACGCCACAATTGAGATTCCACAGGACCGAGACACTCTCCCCAAGCTGAACTCTCTGGGGGCGATCCTCCAAGAAGGAACGGAGCCAGGCTAGTGCCAAGCCACTGATTCCCAACTCAGAGAGCCTCCCCAGGAGGATACTGTGGTCGACGGTATCGAAGACCACCGAGATTTATTTATTTATTTATTTATTTGATTTTTACCCCACCCCTCTAGACAGCGTCTACTCGAGATGTCGAGGAGGACCAGCAGAAATATTTTGCCCCTATCAGCCTCCCTTAACAGGTCATCGTACAGGGCGACCAATGCCGTCTCTGTACCGTGGCGCGGCCTGAAGCCCGACTGAAACAGATCCAGGGCATCTGTTTCATCCATATATCAACAAACAGCAATTACCAATTATCTGACAATTAATTGTAATTCGTATTTAATTATAGTGCAAGGACGTCAAATCTGTGACAATTATGCACTCCTTGTTTATGTTTCCATGCTTAAAATTTTTAGCAAGCTACAAGTTGCTCTACAGCATGATGTAAATCTCTACTAAGAAGTAATACCTGTTGAATTCAATGGGATTAACTCCCAGGTAAGTGTGTATAGGTTATAGCTTTCATCTTATAGATGGTTATGAAAAAACACTATGGACTTTGTTGTTGGATTTCACTAGAATTGTCTTCATCATTTTCTTCCCTGCAGGTTTTTAAAAGTGACAGCACTGATGTGAAGAAAATAGAGAAATCATGAAATGGTAGATTAAAATTATGTCTGCTCGACCAGATCTTGTATGGTCATTGACTGCACGACATGGAGAACCTTTCAGGAGACATGGACAATAATACTTTGAATTGCTCTATTAATCACAACATACATCAGACACTATCACCAGTAATATATATACTTGTCTTTATAGTAGGGCTCCCAGCCAACTGTCTCTCCTTGTACTATGCCTACTTGCAAGTCAAGGTCAAGAATGAACTGGGCATCTACCTTTTCAATTTAACTGTAGCAGACTTGCTTTATCTTTTCTCCCTGCCTTTTTGGCTCCAATATGTTTTGCAGCATGACAACTGGACCTATGATGAACTGTTGTGCAAGATCTGTGGCATCCTTTTGTACGAAAATATCTACATCAGTGTGGCCTTCCTCTGCTGCATCTCAATTGACCGTTACCTGGCCGTAGTGTACCCTTTTCGCTTCCATCAGTGTCGGACAATGAAAGCTGCTATTATAGTGAGCATTGCCATCTGGACGAAAGAAATCCTGACTTCTTGGATAATTTTTAGACACGGTGAAGTCAGTAAAGATGCAGAGAGTCATGTTGTCTGCTTTGAGCATTATCCCATAAAAAACTGGGAACACAACATAAATTTTTACCGTTTCACTGCTGGTTTCTTATTTCCATTTTCTTTGCTCCTTTTTTCATATTATGGCATTCTGCGAGTTGTCCACAAGAGTCATGGCACCCAGACAAAGAAGAAGATTCAGATTAAACGTCTGGTTTCAAGCACAATTTCCATTTTCCTGATTTGTTTTGGACCTTATCATGTTCTATTGCTGATACGCAGCCTCTTTGAGAGAAGTTGTGAATTTGCTGTCAGAATCTTTAATATTTACCACATTTCACTTTTGCTGACCACTTTTAACTGTGTTGCAGACCCAGTATTGTATTGCTTTTCTAGTGAGAACACATACCAAGATTTTGCTAAAATAGGAAACACCTGCCTAAAGTGTCTGAGATGTGGACAGATGGAAACCAAGGAATCCTATCCAATGAGTACTCCAGAAACTGTCAAGAAAATCAGAGACCAAACTGATCTAGATCCAAGGTTGTTAAATAAACTACATGTTGTTCAAGTAATAGAGGAACAATCACCTGACACTTTTCCTAAAGGAAGAATGATGTAAATGATGTAAAGTCTCCATCAATGCCTTTGCTCACTTCCCTTTTTTAGGGTATAAATGTATAGGAATTAAGGCATTCTACAGTTAAAAATACCCCCAACTGTGCTATATTGACATTTTTTCCTCATGGGGAATTCCTTGCTTCCTGTAAAATAATTCAGTAATTACAAATAAAACTGGCTAGTTATCTTTTGCAGTTGATTATCACTATGCATATTAGCTCCAGTCATGGAGCACCTACTGTTCTGTTTTCTTATAGAACTTGTGGAAATAAAGGAATTACAATTCTGCATTGGTTTTATGTTCTGCAAGTGACAAAGCATAACTTGAGAGTTAACTGCTTGTATTTCAAAAAGTGAAACACAGTACACACTTAAAAACACACATTTGTCTATGGCGTATCATGTATATCAATCTGTGTATTTTATACTTCTGAAACTGACATTTTTTTATTTAGTACCATTTATCATTACCACCTATTAATTATAAAAGCATACATGGAAGAGTTCATAACAAAATGGCACTCTGCAAAGCATGTCAATGCCTTTTGTGTTTATTAATTATCTGTGGGCTATTAAATGCATGTGGCAAACAAGCTATAGTAGTGCTTATTTATTTTTAATATCATTGAAATGTTACAACTGTGAATTCAACCTGGCAATGGCATCCTTCAGTCCTGGGAGACTATGGTAACTTGCTCTGAATAGAGGTCTTCAAACAGCGTCTAGTGTGGCCTAGAAGGCCAGTTCAAGAGTGACAATCCCTTCCACACTGAAAACAAATACAACCTATCCCCTGCCCAGCTCCCTGATTTTGCTGGTTTCAGGACTGCCTCTTTGCCTCGGCCTCCTGTACAAGTGCCTCTTCAAATTGGGAAAGGCCATGCTGCACCGCCTGCCTCCAGGCTGATCGCTCAGTTTTCAATACTTCCCATTTGTTGAGGTTCATTCCTAAGGCCTTCAGATCCCACTTGCAGATATCCTTGTATTGCAGCTGTGGCCTCCCTCTGGGGCCCTTTTCCTGCACTAATTCTCCATACAGGAGATCTTTTGGAATCCGACCATCTGCCATTCTCACAACATGCCCAAGCCAATGTAGATATCACTGTTTCAGTAATGTTAAATATTCCAGCTTGTTCTAGGACTACTCTATTTGGAATTTTGTCCTGCCAGGTGATACCAAAAATGCATCGGAGACAACACATATGGAACGTGTTCAGTGTCCTCTCCTGCCGTGCACAAAGGGTCCAGGACTCACTGCAGTACAGGAGTGTACTCAGGACACAGGCTCTATAGACCTGGATTTTGGGATATGGAATTCAATTTAAGTCGTGCTTATATGGGATTTAATGTGGATTTAAATAGCTAAAGGGGTAAACAGTGCACTTAACTGACAGTTTAAAAAAGAGATAGAAGGAACAAGTTTCATATTTTATTACTGTGATGACACAAAAAATATAAGTTCAAATATAGAAATTAAGCTTGATGGAAGAAAAGGTGAATTTGATGAAATGTACAAATATATGCATCCCAAAAATGAAGTATCTACCACTCGAGAAGCAGACACAACATTTAGGGAGATGTGACAAAAACAAAGTCTATCATACTCTGTAAGAGGATTAGTTTTGTTTAGTGTAATATTCTATTTATTTAGCAGTTTTATGCTGCAAAGTTAAACTTTGGGTCTCAGTAACAAATCTGTTTTATTTGGCAGTTTATCCTTGCAGTTCTTCCTGCATTCTGCTCTGGCCTTAATATGTGTCTTAGGTCACAGGATAATTTTCTTGGCATGCAAAGTAACTGAGTAAGAGCTGATGTTACAACACATGTTTAGCACAGTTGCTGATTTGGAAATGACCATGTTATCAGGAACACCCAAGCATTTAACATTATGGAAGCCATTTGTGGACTTGATTGCATTCAGCTGCTGCCCATCAGTGAAAATGCCATTACCTAAAGTATACTGCTGTGGACAACATTATTTCAAAATTAGGTACTGGTACTGGTGATGATCCATTATTTTGATTTATAATAATTACAATGATTATGCATTCCAGTCTTCATAATTGCATGCATCACCATGTTGCTTCTTCCACATTGAAAACTTTGTTCAAGACAGAGAGCTCGTCATACTACTTGATTTGATGGGGCTCTGCAGCTTTTCTCTTTTTCTCCTTAATGACTTTTTCCTAGTAAGGGAGGGGGGGAAAGGAATCCAGAAAAAGGCATGGTAAAACAAGAGACGTTCCCATTGTAACAATTAGACACATTATCTCCTGAGATTCTCCAGATGTAAATAATTCAGGATGTAAATAATTAAGGAGGAGGATTTGTGAAACCCCTCTAAAACCTGGCAAATAAGGAAGCATGATAGTATAGTTTAAAAACTCATCTGGGATGGGTCTCAAGGCCTAGTCAAGTGTCACAGGTAACCTGTCATGTACAAGAGGAATTTCTAACTGTTAAAACAAGGACTTTTTAAATCCTTGTTGCCAATTAGATTGCTTATCAAGTCTGACTTGAAATAGTTGCAGTTTTAGAAGAGGTAGCCAGGTTGATCTCTGCAAGCAGAACTTTTGAGGACTTGTCCATGAAAGTTCACATTAAAATATAACAGTTTAAGTGCCACAATGTTTTTGTCCTTTTTATTTGTTACTATTATTAGTTTTTGCCTGGCTGGTTTGAAAGACTGCCTGCACTATGTTTCACCTAAATATGATTTCTGTTCCAATGACCTTTTGGACTTCAGCCCACTCTAAGAATTCACATCAGTATTTAACACTGCAGGATTCAGATTCTTATGTGTGATTGCTCAGAAGTGTGCACCAAATGGGATTTAGTTCAACATGCACAGGATGCAGCCATTGATTAACCATTACTATATTACCACAGCCCAATAATCTTTGCCCAAATGGCAGTAAACATTATTTAAATGCTCATTAACTTGGTGATGTCCAAATTTGTTAAAATGTACTCAGATTCAGCAGTTTACCCGTTTGTATTGTTTTGTTCCGGAGAGGAATGAAAACCTTGATCAGACAAGTGGTACTGTCCTCTGTTTTGTCTTGGCTGGTAAGAAGAAGGGTATCGAATAGCTGCTGTTGTCATTATGTGTCATAAAGTTCCAACTTACGGTGAATCTTACTGCCCTCCTAAAAGTCCAGTTGGCAATAGCCCAGATCAGCTTTTCCTAACCCAAGTCTGTGGTTTCCTTTATTGAGTCCATCTGTCCCATATTTGGTCCCCCTCTTTTCCTGTTGCTTTCAATTTCTCGCACCAGCACTGTTTTTTTTCCAACAAGTCCTGGTCTTCTCATAATGTGTCCAAAGTACAATAACTTCAGTTCATACATTTATGCTTCCAGGAAAGTTCTAGCTTGATAAGATCTAGAACCCACTAATTGTCTTTCCAGTTCATTGCATCTGCAAAGCTCTCCTCCAACACTACGTTTTAAATGAATCAATTTCCCGTCATCTTTCTCACTGTTCACCTCTCGCATCTATAGGTAGTAAGCAGGAATATTATAGCACTGACACACCCTTGCACTTGAGGACATTTTTTAGTTTCTTCATGGGTACCCTTCAAAGTCCCATGGCTACTGCCTTCATTACTGGCTCGAGCGTGAGTGCCTCCTGCAACAAAGTGCAGGGTAAGCTGTCCCATATTTGGTCCTCTTCTTTTCCTGTTGCTTTCAATTTCTCACACCAGCACTGTTTTTTTTCCAACAAAATATTCCGCCTATCTGGTATATTTATACCACTCTGAGCGGCTAACAGCCTCTTGGGCAAAAGTCATGGGTGTGTCTTCATTGCGAGGAGTTCCAAGAACTCAGGGAATGGGTTCGCTCCTTTGAAGTCTTGGTTGTAGACTGGGAGAAGCGGAGACAGGGAGAGAGGGACCACAGTGAGACTTCCAGTGACCTTCAGGCATCGTCCCACCCACAGATAAGCAGCCCCTCAGCTGCTGGGATTGGAAGCCTCCAGGCTGGAGGATGTCAATCTGGATAAGAGGGAAACCATCCCCTAGAGGGGACCAATTCTACAGGTGACAGCCCCGTATCCAGTTGCACCAAGGATACTCATTGTGGAGAGGAGAGAACGGGCACAACAAGTTTAGCAGCTGCACAAGTTCAGCAGGAAGGCAAGTAAGCCAGGACCCCAGGTACTGCCTGGCACTTCCCCTGAAAAGAGGTTTGGCAAGCTCTAAACAAATATCAGAATGCAATCAGACAGACAGCAGTTGGGGGCACCGAGTGTCATATGTATGACTATTTATTTATTTATTTGTTTGTTTGTTTATTTGATTTATATTCCGCCTATCTGGTATATTTATACCACTCTGAGCGGCTAACAGCCTCTTGGGCAAAAGTCATGGGTGTGTCTTCATTGTGAGGAGTTCCAAGAACTCAGGGAATGGGTTCGCTCCTTTGAAGTCTTGGTTGTAGACTGGGAGAAGCGGAGACAGGGAGAGAGGGACCACAGTGAGACTTCCAGTGACCTTCAGGCATCGTCCCACCCACAGATAAGCAGCCCCTCAGCTGCTGGGATTGGAAGCCTCCAGGCTGGAGGATGTCAATCTGGATAAGAGGGAAACCATCCCCTAGAGGGGACCAATTCTACAGGTGACAGCCCCGTATCCAGTTGCACCAAGGATACTCATTGTGGAGAGGAGAGAACGGGGCTTCTGGAAGTGGGAAATTTGATTGTCAGAAACATTAAGCAAGGGGTCTGTGATGGTTGTGAGGACTGCAAGGAGATGTCCATTTGCCCTGAAGTGAGCTACTTTAAATGAATGGTTCATGTATGTAGCTTCTTTGCACAACAGAACTCCATACCTGTCTTCCACAATTCTATTTCAACATGTACAATTTTCTCTTATGGGTACTTTTCTTTTCAAGATAACTAAAAACATAGACCAGTACCCTACTGTTGGTCCCAACCCAAGCAGACCTTAGCTTGGGGACACAATACATTTCATTTCTGCTCCTAACTTTGCCTACGTAGAACTGGGCGTGACGTGTACCACGTAACCCCTGCTTGTTTCCTCAAAGGGCTCACGCTATGTCTTCCCACCAGCAGATAACAATTGGGACATTCCCCCTTTTTCTCACTGCCACCAGTGGATTTCCTTTATCCACAATATATATAAAGAACTTAAGTCAGACACTTGTCAGGTTGCTGCCAACAGAACTTATTTATTGAAGTATAATAACTTTAATCAGAATCACCAATGTTCTTTATTTAATGCATGCAATCAAATCATTCAAATATCATCTATCTTGCCACCTTCACCACCTGCTCTATCTATTTATCTTGACTAGCTTATCTCTATTATTTCTTCTCACCATCTCCCTATCTATCTATCTCTCCTTCCCCTTGCTTCTTTCTGCTTCTCTCTCTTATATCCGCTGACTCCGCCCCTCCATTCCTCTCACAGGCTCATGCAAATGAGAACCAGACTGTGAGTGACGGGGTGATGTGGGGCAACCGTCAGGGCTTCCATATACAGTGGTGCCCCGCTTGACAACGATAATCCGTTCCAGGAAAATCGATGTTAAGCGAAATCGTCGTCAAGCAAAAAAACAAAACAAAACAAAAAACCATTGGAATGCATTGAAAACCGCTCAGTGCATTCCAATGGGGCAATACTCATCGTCCAGCAAAGATTGCCCATAGAGAACCGCAGATCAGCTGTTTAAAATCGCTATCTTCCGAAGCAGGGGTCCGGAAAACAGCCATTTTGCGAAAGGAGGGAAGCCATTTTATGAAGGGAAGCCATTTTGTGGAGCTGGAAAAATCGCTGTTTAGCGAACAAACGGTTCGTGAAGCAGGCTCCTAATCAATGTCAAGCGAAAAAACCCCATTGGAACCAACGGTTTGCGATCGCAATAGCGATTGCAAAAAACTCATCGGAAAGCGTTTTCGACATCAGGCGGGGTAAGCATCAAGCGGGGCACCACTGTATGTAACTCTGAACCATAATTTACATCAGTCATATGAAGCCAATGTGTTTGTTTTATCTGTCTCAATTAAGAGGGAAAATAAACAGCTGAATTTCTCTAACAGGTTTGAGAAGCTACAGCTGAATTTTCCTTTACATGAGATTTGGCAGATAAAGACCCAGATGAATCATGTCTTTACTGAGTAAACCATATTCTGAACGAATTTATTGTTCATGATAAAGGATGCATCAGTACAAGTGGGTTTTAGGAAGATCGTTTAGAAAGGCCCAATTCTGAAAGTACATTGTTCTCCACTTGAATACAATTACAAACTCTGAAATCAACAGAATCTAATAAGATCACGGTGCGTCACTTACAGTGATGCTATATAATTGGGGGTCTAGCAGTATTATGCAATGCTATACACATTTATAGGTGTTACACATGGCTTTAGGAATGACCAATATTTCATGACTTGTTCAAGGAGGGCTATTTCAGGGTTTCCTCCAGCAGCTTCTCCAGTAAACATGAGTGGACAGTGTAGAATGGCAGACCGTCCACTTCCATTTCTAAACTGGCGGTTAGTCCACTACGGACTTGGTTCTGTTGCAGTATGTTCAGCAACTTTTCTTCCTAAACAGTAAATTAAACAATGTTTGATTAAATACAAGATTTAGAGACTATGAAAGGAAAGCATGCTATTCTCTTAAGGTTCCAGTCATTGTGAACATTACTAAAACAGCAGCAGAGATAGCTCAACGCAGTCTCTGCAACCTGTGTGCTCTCCTAACATCATGTAATTTCTGTTGACACCCATGGTGATGGAGTATTTTTAAGAGGGAAAGCTCATTAAATTGGACTGTTAAAAGAAAAAAAAACCCTATTCAAATAAAAACTAATTGGCTCCAATTAATTCAAATAAAAACTTGTCCAAGTCAATTGTATACTATCCTGACCTATGAGAGCTCTTGCAATACTTTATGATAACTATGGTATGCAAGATGATTTAATTTAAAAAGAGGATTAATTTCAGTAATTTATAAGAATATTGTAAATTATTAATATGGCAATTATATGGGACTTAACACAGTTTGGGGGGAAACTTAAATATTAATCTATCAGAAGACTCTTGGGCAAAAGTATGGATTACATAGCAATAGATTACATGGATTACATAATCAGTATTGGCCAAGTCCAAGGAAATGGTATTGAAAACAGTTCACAGATGAAAACTATGCCCACAAAATGTCATAAAATTAATAATAAGATATCATATTTGTGTTGGATAAATTATGTCTTGAAAGAATAACTGGAATATATGTGGGTCTCTTGTCCAAAAGTCAAATCATTCTAGCATGAGTAGGTTAAAGGATAGTCCCTAATATAATTTGATATTGTTCTCATTATTTGCTAGAGAGAATGAGAATTTATCTAATAAAAGTTGGTGACGATCCTTGTAGGAGTGCCAAGAATTGAAATTGCTAGGATTGTATAGATCTTTAATAGTTTTTCCCCCAAGACGTGTCAATAAACGTTTAAAAAACAATTGAGTATTGTGGAGTGTCACATGTGCCTCAAGAGAGCCTTAAAAGAAAGAACTGTAAATTCTTTTTGTCAAAAACGTGCTTATAGAATTACAATTTATGCAGTTATACAATGACACATTTTCCAGCAAAGAATCGGGGTATAGATGGATTGTGGAGTAGAACACTGTGACACAAAAGAGCAAAATAAATTCGTATCTTAATCATAGCAAAACCAGTAAAGCACACTGTACTGGAGAAGATGAAAAGAATGGGTGGGACTTCAAAGAGTAATTTTTGACTTGGATATTTAAAAAAATCAATTGTTGGTAGTACAAAATTAATTTTGCCTAATCTTGTTTCCATCAGAAGAAATGCAAAAGAGTTTGGAGTGACAAGGAAGTGGCTCTCTCCAAGTGGCATATACGTAACTGCATGTATGTAATTTGGTGCAGGATTAAACTTTAGAGTAATGAAAATCAATTGCCACTAATTTAGCAGGCCACCTAATTTAGCTAGTACAGGTATGGAACAGTTTTGCCATTGAATTCCAAGGGGAGTATTCACATAAAGAATAAGGATGATAATTGATAACTGTAAAATTATTTCAAATGGGCATTTCGCCAACATAGCAAAGATACATATATTTTGAGAAAATATTTGGCCCCTCATACAAATTGCATGGAATTTCTGTTTCCTTTCCAAATAACAAAGTCTACTTTTTTCTAATCGGGAATACGAATTCACTATTCATATTTAGAGTTCAGAATAAGAGCCATATTTTCAGCAAAATTTTGTGCAGAGCTGCTCACATTAACTACAAAGATTTTTCCACTAAAACTTCAAAATGTCTTTTTACTATCTAATTACTGTTACTGGGAAACAAGCAGTATCTTGGGAATCATTCTGTGTGAAACTGCTTTCAGTACATTCTGAAATTAACATTAAGCTACAACAGATTTCACAGTAATGTTGTTTACAGTTTTGAAACATGACACCATAATTTCAGTGTCAAGTGTTCAGAAGCTACCCTTATTTACTGAGGCACTTTCTTGCACGATTCTGATTTCATAGCAATATAGTAACAATGAAGAGAGGGTAGAATATGAAAAGAAGGAGATATGAACAAACAAGCTAGGGTCCACTTCAAGTACATGAGATAACATCAAAGCAACTTTGGGACACCCCAGAGTGAACTGATGGGAATATGTGATGCCATACTGTAGATTGCAGAGTTAATCTGAAGTACAGTGGTGCCCTGTATGACGAAGATAATCCGTCCCATTGAAATCTCTGTTTAGCAAAATCATCATCATGCGAAAACCCTTTCCCCATTGGAATACATTGAAACCCGGTTTAATGCGTTTCTATGGGGAAAATACCTCATCGTCCAGCGAAGATCGCCCATAGGGAAGCCATTTTGCGAGCGCCAGTCAGCTGTAAAAATGGCTGCCCTGTGAAGCATGGGTCCAGAAAACACAGGGCAGCCATTTTGCGAAGCCGATGATCAGTGGAAAAAAAATCATTGTCTTGTGAACAAACAGTTCGCGGAGCACTGACCTAATCAACGTCCAGCGAAAATCCCCCATTGGAATGAGTTTTGCGAATCGCTATAGCGATCACAAAAAGTCATCGTTATGCAGATTCATCGTTTAGCAGGGTTGTCATCTTGCGAGGTACCACTGTACATCGTCTCACTACAGAGACAATGCAAGTACAAAGGAAGCTTCAGTCAGATCAGGATGATGGAAGAATTTGCAGACATGATAGTGGAGAAGGGATGGTATCAAGCAATTTAAAAGGGAGAATTCTAGATGAAAATGCAATCCAGGCTGATCCCCATAGAATACTTATGCTAGGATTCATTCATCTTAGGTCTGAGGAAGTGGACTTGTCCATGAAAGCTCACATTAAAATATAGCCATTAGTCTTTCAGGTACCACAACATTTCTGTCTTCAACTTACGTAATGGTCCTGTTGTGATATGCGTTGTCAAGTTGCTTTGACCTATGGCAACCATCTAAATCAGTGAGCTCTAAAAGGTTCCATAACAAACTAGGTAGTGTTACTAATGGCTAACGAGACAGAAGATTTTTCATCTCCACCTGTTCTAAAGCTTCATGAAAACTCTGGACATTGGTGAGCTTGAGGTTTCAAACTTGAGGTCTGACTCCTGCCTTCAAAGTTTCATTTCTATTGGCCTGGCATCTGCTAATTCAAGGTGACTACAGATATATTTAATGAACTAAATTAATTAATACGTTAAAAATGAATAATCCAGAGATGCACATCCCCAGTTCCCCTTGATAACTATGCTAAAGTTCAGGCGTCTAAGGTTCACAGCTTTGAAGCTCTAGCAGAGAAAGATACACACCTGCTTCCCCGAAAATAAGACCTAACCTGAAAATAAGCCATAGTATGATTTTTCAGGACGCTCGTAATATAAACCCTACCCCAAAAATAAGCCCCAGTGAAGTGAAACCCCACCCTCCACCATTGTGCAGCAATCAGAAGAAGATGACATGACTGTATTTGAATAAATGTAGATGGTTGTACATGAAAAAAATAAAACTTCCCCTGAAAATAAGCCCTATTGTCTTTTTATTTTGGAGGAAAAATTAATATAAGACCCTGTCTTATTTTTGGGGAAACATGGTAGTCACATATTCTCTGTAACTGTTATAATGTCTACATATGACTTTGGATTAAAGTAGAACAAGTGCCTACATGGGAGAGGTTCCATGTACCACATCAATGTTTTGAATTTTATTCCAGAAAAATACCTTAGCCACAGAGGGTAATGCTGATGTCCAGTCCACTTTTTTGGACAATCTGGAAAATCCAACAGCTTTTCTCAGATAACGATCATGTATTTCACATGTATTGAGAATATATAGTGCACAAGCCACAGCATAACCTCCCCAGTTAGAAACTCCTGTAAGATAAAAGTGCCATAAAAACAGAATTTAAGTTCAAACGCCTATGGTAAACTTCTGTGAAACTTCCTTCTGAGGCTAGCTAGGCTGGTTCCTTACCTGCTCTCCTGCCACTGGCAAGGAAATATCTTTATTCTTTAGCTATTAGCCAGCTATTGAGGAAGGCTCTTTTAGTGGATGCAGAATGTGTGTATATTTTTTTAATTGTTAATTCTAAATATGCTTTAAAGGTAAAGGTTCGCCTTCACATTTTTAGTCAAGTAGCGTCCGACTCTAGGGGGTGGTGCTCATCCTGTTTTCAAGCCGTACAGCCAGCACTTGTCCAAAGACAATTTCCATTGTCATGTGGCCAGTGTGACTAGGGAATGCCGTTTTACCTTCCCACTGAGGTGGTACCTATTTAACTACTCGCATTTGCATGCTTTCGAACTGCTAGATTGGTGAGGAGCTGGGACAAAGTGACGGGAGCTCACTCCGTCACGTGGATTTGATCTTACGACTGCTGGTCTTCTGACCCTGCAGCACAGAGGCTTCTGTGGTTTAGCCCTCAGCGCCACCATGTCCCCTATGCTTTAATTCTGTGCTTATCCTTGATAATTTAATTGACTGTGTTTTAATATAACATTGCATTTTGGCTTATTATTGGTTTATCACTGAGAGATATATAAATGATGCAAATAAATAATAAACATATATAATTTTAAAATGTACACCAGCCAAAGGATTGACAGTTTTTTTCTAGCAAGAATCCAGTGTCACAGATTCCTGTATGACAAAGGAAAATCTAGAATGTGTAGATTCCTTATCACCTCTTCAACATAATTTCCACGATTAAAATGTAGTTTGCAATCCTGATTTGGAGGGTTTCCTCTACAGTAAACAATCTGAACATAGCAATTCACTATGGTTCAATTAGTCCAGAAAATAACATATTTAGCAATAGATTCAATGAAGTGAAGATGTAATGCAAGCTTGTAGTTTGTCCCCAGACTTCCAAAACATGGGCAAAATCCTCTTCTTTTCCTCATTTGTGTAAGGCCAAATTTGTAAATCTTTCTCTTCTTCTGACAGTATCTCCTTTGCCCGAACAGGCAAGTACACTCCTGTATGTCTGTCATGCTACAATTCACCTGAATGGTTGTGCAAAGAGCAACATGCTGGAGGGGGAAGGGATAACTGCCCTTATGTTCACATAAAAACTGAACAGATTTTGGCCACGGTTAAGAGTTTGGTTCCTCCTGATCACCATTCCCTCCACATATCATATCCATTTATCTAGACAGCACAGATAATAGCCATTAATGAAGATAGCTGTAAGCCAAAACATTTTGAGGGATGCAGAATTGTTTGAATGTATGCAGTGATGGCTCTCCCAATGCCTCTATTTTTAAGTTTATAAAGGATAGCCATATACTGTAGTTGTAGGATAAGATTGTCCAAAGTCCTGTTGCTTAGTTATGCCCACAGAAGGCAAACAATGTAACTCACAGCAGGTTCCTAATGGCAATTAACGAATCTCTGCTTCAATTGTCAAGCACATTCTAAGCCCGTGGTTATTATAGTAGAATGACTGTGACATGAAATGCGCTGCCTATGATTCAGTGGATCAAAGTACAACCCATATTATATCCAGCCAAATTACATCCAGATGAGTTTTGTTTTGTTCTTGGAAGAAAAAGAATACTGACTATGTCACAATGTTCACCAAGAAAAGTTAATATCCAGCAGAAGTGTTTCATTTTTATACAGTTGTTTTTCTTGTTCTTACCTGCAACTACTGCAAAATCAGCTTCCACATCACAAGCGATGACATCTCCATTTGCAATGTATTTCTTTACAGCTTCTTTTACTTTTCCCATACCCAGTTCATTTCCTCCATCCCCGATACCTAAATTAAAGTGGGTAAGTTAGCATGAAATAACACATTAGTTCATAAGTGTAAAGTTAATAAAAATGTGATTCTTTGCTTTATTCAATGTTGTTTTAATCCTTGTATATTTTAGTTCATAAGTTAGCATGAAATAACACTTTAGTTCATAAGTGTAAAGTTAATAAAACATGTGATTCTTTGCTTTATTCAGTGTTGTTTTAATCCTTGTATATTTTAGTTCATAACCCTTTTAAGCCAAGTGACTTATTCTGAAATTACATTTGTTATAGGGAATTTCAGAAAATGGCCTCTATGAAAAATCATGATGCACATATTTTCAGAATTGGACAGATCTGATTCTTAATGTGAAACTTAAATTTAGCATAAATTAAGGAAAATAAGTAGGCAATTCCTCTCAGCCTATAGTTTAAACATTCTACTCCTGCTCTTATTACATTTTCCTTATTACCCAGTTGTTTAGAATTATGGTCAAGTTCATGACAATACAGGAGTGATACAGGCATTCTTTTTCACCAATGCCTAATTTGGTTGTACTAATTCTGTTGTTAAAGGACACTTCAACACTCCTCCATGCATTCCATCTGCCAACAGCTCTCCTTTTAGACATGAAAGCACAATATTTAAGATGTCACAATGTATATATATACCTTTTCTATTTCTTTTAAAAATGTTCATGCTAATGTGAGACAACTTTCCCAGGCACTCCTGTTAAAGCTTCCAAAGTTAATATAGGCCCACATTTCACTTAAGTAAAATGAGGGCTACAGGCAGTCTTAATCTCCAAGGATTCTGCCTTTTTGTCATCATCTGAGTTTAGTGAGCTCCATTCATTGTGCTGTGCCACTGGCTTTCCCCAAGATGAGTAAAAATGGTTATGGCACTTTTGCCAATATTGAGGGGTAAGCCTCTTATGCTAATCTCACCAACACTCAAAATATCCAAATAAAATAAGCGCAGAAAGATGTGGTGAACGTTTCTCTGCAGGGTGCTGGCACACATTTGTAGACAGACTAGTTAAGAGAACTGGCCTGTAAAAAGAAATTGGTAGATTATAACTAGTAAATCAAACAAGAATTAACAATAATATTAGAAATGTCAGGCTGTAGCATGAAGAGTATTTGAAAGAGATTTCAGCTATGCTTAGTTAGACATAAGTGTCTAGGGGGAAAAAACAGCATCTGCTCCAAATATTTAACAACCACAAGATGCAAATCAGAGCTAGCGTGGTATAGTCATGCATACAGTTGTAAGCTAGGACTAAGTGACCTGGGTTCAAATGTCTCCTTGGCTGTCAAAACTCACTGGAACATGAGTTTTTAGTGATCTATAAAGGTATTGCCTACTCCTGTATTGTACTGTGTAGGGTTAGGCTCTCCTTGATTTCAACAGAACTATGAAGATAACAGGAATAGCCACCCACCAACCTATACCAACAGGAAGACAGTCGTGAAAGACTCCGAACTGAAGAAACTATTTCTAAGCACAAGGTAATACTATTTTGACTTTAATTTGACTTCAGTTGGCTCTACTTAGTGGGTTTAAAAAATTTCCAAGTCCTAGATGGAGGGGTTTTTGTGTCACCCTGTTCCCCAAGCCAAACAGAAACTTGTAGTTTCAAAGGAAGGCCATGTAGGAGGATATATGCCTGAGCTTCTTTGTTTGAACACTGGGATGTGATTTCCAGTCAACAGCTTCCTTAGTTGTAACTCTAAATTCAAACATCCAATACAGTCTGCAGCTTTCCTAACTTACATCTAAGAAACAAGCCTAGCAAATCCATCTCCCATGAACTTTTGGGAGTCTGCATTCTCTGTACTAATTACAAGACACTAGTGCATGCCTGGGGAACTGGGCATTAATCCATGAAAACTAACAGACAGTATGGGTTTCGTAGTGGTCTATAAAGGCAACACCTACTTTTGCATCGTACTGTTTAAGGACCACACATCTCTTTTCAATTCGCCAGAAAGGTGGCAATGGTAAACCATTCCTCGAACATCTTAGATACCTCAAAAAACATGTTAGGTTTGCCATTAGTCAGAAATTATTTGATGGCAATTAACAAGATGTATGTGGATTGGATGAGCCACAGACAAAGTGGACACCAAAATGAATATACATTTTTAAAATAGTATAATTTTCTAATACCAGATTACTATGCCTAGTGCTTAAGCTGTCTGAACTCAGTAAATGCAACGTACCATCATTAATCAGACTGCAACCCATATTCTGAACAAGCACTTCCAAAAGAATTTACCGTATTTGCCGGTGTATAAGGCAACTAGACGTATAAGACGACCCCCCAACATATGCACTCAAAATATAGAGTTTGTTATATACTTGCTGTATAAGACTACCCCCTCTTTCGCATGCGTGATTCTGGTTCCTTTTGCTGGGAGAGAGCGAGGGTTTCCTGGAAGGACAGCATCAGCGCCGAACAGCAGACTGTCGGGAAGCAGCAGAGAGGTGGCAGACATTTTGGAGAGACGCCAGCCATTTTGAGAGTCAGAAGCCATGTGGTAGCATCTCAAAATGGCTGCCTCCTCTCTGCTGTTCCCGACAGTCAGCTGTT